AAAAAAGTATCCATGCGTTCATTAGCTAGCAAACATAAACAAAGCAGATTGTCTCAAAAAATAAAATAAAATACAATAAAGAAGCAGGAGAACTTTTTTTAATACCCTGCTATTTTGACAAAGTACATTCAACAGCCAGATTCAACAAAATAAGCTGACATATAGTGCACAAAAACATTCTGAGCATAATAAGGATTTGTACACACATAAATATCAGAACACAAACAGCAAGAATTGAAGAACTAGTATGTGGGAGTATTGTTCAGGAAATCACAAAATCTGAGAGGATAAAAAATGTAAAAGAGACCAACTCTAGACTGTCTCTCTCTCTCTCCTTCACTTGCAATTATGTCAATTAGCTCCTGAACGTTTAATTGTCAAGGGAAAGCCTGTATTAGTACAGATCTACATTTAGAAACTTCCACATCCCCATGACAATTAAGGCTCCTTCACAAATGAAGCACGATTAAGCAGAAAATTATGGCTCATTCACAATAAAGGATAGGATTCATCCCGGAATAAGTTTGAGAAAGAAATTGAAATTCGCTTTAGAACTTGTTTTCTCATATTAAAATAGTTAGACCTAAGGAATCCATGACTTTGAGACTGAAGGAAATGCCTGCTAGACAAGCCACTCACAACTGTTTCCAATATGTGAAAACCCAACAAAGACAAGTGCACCAAAATACAGTTTCCGCAACATTCATATCTTTAGATCTTCAGGTGTATATGTAGTTTATCTTCTAATTTGACACATATCTGATAGTCTCTTCGCCATATATTATTTTCCAACATGACCTACTTAATAGTGCTTTAAATGCAGTTATACCAAAAAAAAAAATTAGAGCAGTGGTCATTTCTTCAAAACAATCAGCTGGCCAATCTTTCAGACATGGCAAGTACAGCTCAGCCAAAAATCAGGACTCAATCAGAAATGTTCAAATAAAAATGAAGGGAATAATGAGCTAATACCTGAAACCCAGTAAAAGTCCGGCTCTGCATTCCAGATGCAAGAAGAACCAATCTACTTTCATGCGTGTAGATATACCAACTAACATTCAATTTCCTTGTTTCAACCAAGCGGAGCGATTTTGAGGCAGAATCATAAGCAAACAAGTCTACTCCACTGTGATAAAACTCCTTTCAGTAAAATGAACAATTTCAAAACCTTTGATGTTACCTAAATTTCCACAGGATGTCACCGCTAACACAGATAAAAGTAATATGAAAAGTATTGCAGAATTTACATGCGAATGTGGAGGGGAGTATGTTGGAGAAATTAATGTTATCCACCTGATGTTGTATGCACAATTCATTTTAAGTGGACAAATATACCAAGAACAGTATCTTGAAGTTCTTTACAAGGAATGACATGGCACTAAGTAATATTTCACCCGCATCTTAGTTGCTGACTTTAAATCTCATATTTCACATCCTCGTAGAGTTAAGATATCCTTTAGAAGACAAGGTTTGAACTAAACTTCTTAAACCATAGATCATAAACAAACTGTACTTTCAGTATTCAGTGGAAAGCAGAAATGAAGCTTACCTGGTCTTTACAACAACAATGTGACATGATGGACAATCTGTCCAGAAAAATCCCAGAATACTTTCTGATTCTGGCTTGCACTTTTGACTAAAACTTTCCCCAGTTTGTCTGTCCCAAATTTGTATCTCAACGTTAGATCGTTGGACTGCCATCATTGTTCCATCTAGCGAAAATCGAATAGATAAAATAGGCCCTTCACTTATTGAATCGCAGGTTGGGGCAACATCAGGGTCAAATGGACCAGTTTTCCATGAAAAAACCTAAACCGGAATGGGGGAAAAAGGAAAGAAAAGAAGAAGAAACAATAAACAATTAAGGAAAGTTCAATCATGGATGAAGGAATTCAGTAGGAAACATTCAATTACAAAATCCAATGAAAACCTGATCAGAAGTTGGGCAGATGAGCAACTTATTTCCATCGTCATAAAAGAAACCCCTTGACCCAGGTACACTGCAACATAATGGTGGGTATTGTATATAAACATGCGAGAGAGCACCAGATCCACCTAGACCAACACTTGACTGTGAACTTGATGCTTTTGCCAACATATTCCCAACTTCACGGCTTTCAACTTGAAAAAAAAAAATGGAGGGGACAGAAACTGCTGCAAAAGACAATGCTAATATGCTTCTTATAAAACTCAATGTAAATAAATAAATAAGAAGAAATCGCTGGTGCTGGAATTGACAGTCAATTCAATTTTAAAACTTAGAGAAAAGGATGAAAATGGGTAAGGAAATTATATTTTTAGAACAAACTGTCTGTAACTCCAACAATTGCCTCCAAACTTTAAAGATACTCCTTGGAGCACTCAGTGAGCATCTTCAAAGACTGATGAAGAGAGTATGTATTACACCCTTTTCTGGAGTTATCAAGTAAAAAGAAATGCAGGATTTCAGCACAAACTAGTACTGAAGATGACAAATTCCAGCTTTCTAGCCAATTATTATAAATTTCTAAAGTAATAGTATTTGGTAATTGATACCATATTTTGCATGCAAGTCTTCAATGCAAGAAATTCTTTCAAACACATGTCTTTTTCAATTTCTGGAATCTTTGCTGCAATACAGCTCCCATATTCCTTTGCCTACAAGGAGTATATTTCTATCAAGATAAGAAAACCAAACCAGAAAGCAGCTTTTGGCACTAGTTCGCAAATTTCTCTTTGAGCGTAGATGAACAAAGGGGAATGGGATTCATATATTGTTTAAAGAATATACCTATCTTTCTTCAGATTATCTCCATTTTAGGTTTTGTGAACGTGGGGGTCTAACCAACTAATGAACAAATCCAAAAGAAGTGACAATTGTGGTGTTTTCAGTCCATGGAAACTATACTTTTTTTTTCTATTTTCAAATTTTTGAAACCATGCAGCCATGGTAGTTATTTACAAAACTGTTCCCTTTTTGTTTTAAAAAAATGAATGATGTGAAAATAGCTTTATTTTATTCGTAAGTTTCAGTTGTTTCATTTTCATTACCTCTTTTTTTTTCTTTTCAACTGCTTTTTTTCTACAGTTTTAATCCTTCTAAGAAAGCAACAGAAAAAATGGACTACTTTTAGAAACAAACACAGCCTTGGTTTCTTTTTCTTCTTCTTCTTTTTAGGATACCAGACACGATTGTAACTGTTTAATGAATCAACAAGAAGAAAGGCAGGGTATAAGTTAAAAAATCAAAAACCGAAAGAAGAAAAACTTGGCCTCCACTTGTTTCAATGGAAACTATAAGTAAAAAATCTTGATTTAGAAAAAGAAGAGAATTCAATTACAAGAAAATTAGAGTGAATGATTCTCTGGTCTCAAAAACAGATTAAGTAGACAAAATTCACAAATTATTTACATAAACTATAACATCTAGGACACTATCTTGCAACTTATTCAACCTGTGGAAAAACCAAATTTCAAGCTCATTCACAGACCTGTGCTGCACAGTTTGCTAAAATGCGTCTGAGAGGAGAATTAATATTCCTTTCTTTCATATTCACAACACTGTAAAAAGAAATACCAACAAAGTAAACACAAAACCAGTAATTAATGAAACATCATAGCAAAACCAGCAGAAAACTAAAATTAAACGGAGCTTCTTCACAAAAGCGCGCCAAAACAAATTCCTCGTAGTTAAGAAGCTTTACGATAACGAAAATGGATACAAAACAAGTGAATTGTGTGAATTTCAGAAAATTAAACCCTAGCAAGCCAATTCATCTCAATTTAAACAACTAATCCGATCCTAATACACACAAAAAAAACGGCAAACTAATCCAAACATCACGAAGAAAACGAAAGAATTAAAAGATTAATAATCAAGCACAGCCGAAAGCGAGACAGAACGCGAGAAACTGAGAAAGTACCAAGCGAATCCACCATGCTGGGCTTCCAATAGAGAGCACGAAGCGCAATGATGAGAGGAAATGTTAGCAGTCAGTACTCGAATAGCCACCTAATAGTCTTCTGTCATTATGGATCAATCAAGAACCAGTAGGTTAGAGGGCTTGAAACTGACGTGCAGCTCGCCTTGATGAGAAATAGAACGGATCTGTCGGCCAGCCCATTTATACATACTTTTCGAGCTTCTGGTCTGGGCTGTGCTAGAGTGACAGATGGGCTGGATGGTAGACAGTTGAAGACTTCGGTTTTATTAAACCGGTTACCGGTCTGAACCGGTACAATCTCCTGAAGTTTGGTTCACACAGATAGGAATCCTTTTGTTATATAATTTCTTTTTTATAGAGACGATTACTCAGAGGTACGTTTTTGTATAACACTACTCATTCCGTAAAAAATGGTCTCACGATTTTAAACTGATCTTATCTGGGATCACAAATCTCAAAATTGTATGTGAATAGCAAATCTAATTGTATTAACGTGCATAATTGATTTCTTCTGTGTAATATTTATTTTATCTAAATATATTATGACTCACTATAATAAAATTTAATTTGATCATCGTACTCGTATAAACACACTAATAAAATAAGTTATGAATTATATATTATGCGTATAAAATAATGAATTTTACGTATTGGTAATACGCCTTAATAACCAATGGTTAACGATAGCTCTAATGGGTGGTTTTGCTAGAATAAGCAATAATGAAATCACTATTTTAGTAAATGACGCCGAAAAGAGCAGGGACATCGATCAGCAAACTCTTGAAATAGTAAAAGCTAACCTGAGGAAAGCTGAAGGCAAGAGACAAACAACTGCGGTAAATCTAGCTCTCAGACGAGTTCGGATAGGAGTCGAGGCTATCAATGCGATTTCGTAATTATGTACCAAATAATCAAAAAACTTCTGTATAAAAGAAAGAGATTCTGATATAATAAAAAATTTATAAAAAATAAAAAAATAAGATGCAAAATTAATTACATAAATAATTAAATTAATTAATATATTATGTAAAATTAATAGATTGAAATATAAAAAAAAATAAAAGGCAAGAATGATAGGAATGGTTCAACGAGGATCCATCATATCAGGGACCCCCCACATGAGACTTCTCTGTTGACTTTGGGGGGAATTGAAGTGCCAGTTGCAGATCAACTGAAACCTAATTACGTCAAACGCCGTGACCACCACGTTGACAGCCTCAAGATTTTCCCAACTTCGCACTTGCCTCACAATCATGGTCCTACTTCTTTTTTAATAATAAATTATTAATTTTTTTTTATGACGAAAAATATATAAAACTTTTAACCCGTTAGGATAATTTTAATTTAATTAATTTAATCGATACGAGTTATTTATTTTGTTCGGATACATAATGTATTTATTAAAACTTAATTTAAATTAGTGATTAAAAATACTATTAATGTGCTGTTATGTTCTGACGAAAAATGTAAAAATGATTAATAATTTTTTTTACTTACGGTGAGAAAAGACTAAGAAGAATTTTGAAAAAATGTTGATATGTTTTTGTTGATGATGTGGGATGCCTTTAAATAAAGATAATTACGACGGTAATTCTTGCTTCTGTGGTTTTAAAAAAGAATAAAATATATAAAGAAATCATAAAAAAAATGGTAGTGGCTTGGTGGGAGAGCAGATCGTGAGATCTTTTTGACTGGTTCTGGAGTTATTCACTTTTATGGCTAATGTAATTGCAGATCGCAACTGGTCTGGGTTGGCTTATTAGCCCAGGTATTTCAGGTTCTTTACGGGGATCCATTGGGATATTCGGAGCTTTATCATCACTCCCCGCTCGAAAAGGAACATTGTTCTGAAGGTTTAAGCTGATGAATCTAGCTTATAGCTCTTTAGAATTTTTTCAGGTTACATCTTTAGCGACCAGATTCTTCCAATTTAACAAGATTTTCTTCCATAAATTTATCTTATTTTTTACCCAACAAGTATCCATGATGAATTCTGATTACAGAACCAACTCTTTTTCTTCAGCCATGACTTGTAGTTCATCTGTTGGCCCTAGTGCTTCTCTTTTTTTTTTTCCAGTATCGCAGAGTAGTATGAAAACAACAAATGAGATAATCGCAATAAAGAAGGTACTGCAATACACAGCTGATGTTAGTTTCCTCTGTCGTCCCTTTTCTAGATCCCTTTTGACTTTATACTATATTCCTCCCTTTTGACTTTATACTATATTCCTATGTCGTCCATTTTCTGGATCCCAATACACTTTAACTTGGAGTTTATATTGCTGGAATAAAAAGAGAACTTCATCTTCCCAAGCTGACCACAGTGGAAATCAAGTGGACAATTTAAACTTCTTTATTCCTTGGTAGTGCTATTGTCACAATTATCTTGAATGTCTTTGACAAGTATGTTTTATAATTCAATTGTCTAAAAATTGTTGGCATCATTCTCGCTCTTTCTGTAAAAGAAGTCGAAATGACGATACTATGACATTATTTCGGGTGAATATTGACGGATACAGTTTCTTTCTAATCGGACTGTGACAAACTATAATTGGTTTTGTTAGAAAGTTGAATTACTGGTGATTGTACTATGTAAATCACCATTTGCGTGAGAGATTTTAGCTTATTGCGGTAGGATCATCTACGGACATGTCCGCTTGCAATATTGCTGTTGGAGCCCTCTCTATTCATTGTTAGAGTGTCCACAAGCCGCTGAAGGTTATCTTCGATATGATGGAACTTGTCGTCGAACTCGATCACTATTCAATTCAAGCTATCATGCAACCTACGGAGGTCGGCTTCCAAATTCTCGATGCATTCTTTGTTTGAAGTGATGTAGATCTAACTCTAATACTAATGTTAGATCTCAGTTAGAGCTGTAAAAATAATTAAATATTTTCTATTTATGGTGAGAAAACACCAAGAAGAATTTTGAAAAATATTTATATGTTTTTATTGATGATGTGTGATGTTTTTAAATAAAAATAATTACAATTATAATTCTTTCTTTTATGGTTTTAATAAACATAAAAGACACAAAAAAATTAAAAAGAAAATAAAAAAAAAATGCTAGTGGCACAGTGGGAGAGTAGATCGTGGGATCTTCTTGACTAGTTCTAGAATTATTTACTTTTCTGACTATTATAGTTATAGATCATAGCTGTTTCGGATTAGTTTATCAGCCCAAATATTTCAAGTCCTTCAAAAGAATCCGTTAGAATCTTCGGAGTTTATTATGTAACAGTGAGTTAAATTCTCGATTATACTAAATCAAATATTATAAATTGATTATCATGAGTCGTCAAGTTATATTTTAATAACTTCAAATTATTTAGTTATTTCTTTTATTATTCTGTATAAAAATTAGAGTTTAAGTTCAGATTATATAATTTTTTTATTAGTTAAAAAAAATTGTGAATTTGTCCATTCTAATTAATTTTTTTAATCATGAATATATGTGTGTTAGCATTTATTATACGAGTTAAATTAAACTATACTCTCATGTATATGTATATATGCATTAATATGTATGTGTGCTCGTGTATATATAGATTCAATACAATTTATAATTAGATCATTAAATTATGCAAAAATGGTGAGTCTTGGTTACCTTTTTATGGAGGTTGCAGAGCCTGCCATCAAGGCCAAAGCCCATCAAGGGACCTACATTATAAAGGTTTCAAGTAAAATTCAAGAACGGGTTTATACATACATATACATATACGTATACATATACATATACATACACATGTATGTGTATGTGTGTGTGTGGAGGGAGGAGAGCAGAATAAGATTAAAAAAAAAAAAAAACAGAT